CCCACCTACCCCCCACTGAGTCTTTTCATCACTTTTCGCCCCGGGAACCGTTGTGGAACCCGAAACCATGCTTAGACACTTTACAACGTAATTAACGGCAACACGTAGACAATTAACGGATCAAATACGGGAAACGTACGGCACATAACCTATCATGCTTTTCTACACATAATCAACACCCGAACATGCGATTTCCCCACCCGACAATCCAAGAATAATATCATACGAGACAACCTAGGGTTCTAATCACTTTTATATCAACGAGAACACAATTCGTCTTCTAATTACAAGATTCGGTAAGAATAACACACAAGCATCAAGAACATCACACAATTATCAAGAACAACACATAATCATCAAGAACTCCATAACTATCAAAATCTCTCAATATCAAGATTATCAAGATTCCTCATGGAATCATTATATCAACATCAATAATAATCACAATAATTCGCCAGTCACAATAATATGGGGGAAACCCTAAGGGGGAATCATAGCTATGAAAATAGGTTTTGTTGAGACATGGGTTACCTCTTAGCCTTAATTAATTCCTTGGCTATGAAGGATCTTTCTTTAAGCTTTCTTGCTTTCTTGATTTCTCCTAGGGGAATTCTTGGAACTCTTTGGATGGTGAGAGATTATTGTGGTGGGAATTCTAGGTGCCTCCTAAGTTCCCTATTTATATATTTAAGACTCCTAATTAGGGCCTGAATGGTATGGGTTTACTAATTCTATTCCTTATAGGACTTAGGGACTTGCTTTAGGGATAAGGGTCCATGATCCACATTGGACCATATTAATTAAAGCGGATCCTAATCATAATATGAATAGTAAAAGGCCTACTTCCTTTATTCCTAATAGGCTTAAGCCTCTAATTTAGGCAAGGGTCCACGGTTCATGGTGGACCCTATTAATTAATTAAAGGGGAACCTAACATAATTAAATTATATTTAATTATTATTAGCGGGATTAATTAAATAATTAATCCAGGATTGAAGGCCGTAACACGGGGTGTTACATAACCTATCATGCTTTTCTAAACATACTCAACACCCAAACATGCGATTTCCCCACCCGATAATCCAAGAAAAATATCATGCGATACAACCTAGGGTCCTAATCACTTTTATACCAACAAGAATACGATTCGTCTTCTAATTACGAGATTCGGTAAGAATAACACATAAGCATCAAGAACATCACACAATTATCAAGAACAACACATAATCATCAAGAACTCCATATAATCATCAAGAACACCATAATTATCAACAACCTCCCAATATCAAGATTATCAAGATCCCTCATGGGATCATCACATCAAACATCAATAATCATCATCATATCTCGCCAATACACAATAATATGGGGGAAACCCTAAGGGGGAATCATAGCTATGAAAATAGGTTTTGTTGAGACATGGGTTACCTCTTAGCCTTAATTAATTCCTTGGCTATGAAGGATCTTTCTTTAAGCTTTCTTGATTTCTCCTAGGGGAATTCTTGGAGCTCTTTGGGTGGTGAGAGATTATTGTGGTGGGGATTCTAGGTGCCCCCTAAGTTCTCTATTTATAGATCTAGGGATCTTATTTGGGGTCTAGTCCTATTGGGATTGGGGGTTGGGTTTAGAGATGAGGACCCACGGACTATGGTGGGCCTTTTTCCCTAATTAATCATTATAATTTATTCTTTCTCTTGGGCTATTGATTAATTAACTAATTGGTTTTAGGGGCCGTAACACGGGGTGTTACGCTCTCCCCCCCTTACAAGGGGCTTCGTCCCCGAAGCCCGGTGTTATAGTCCATCCATTCACCCCTAGACATCTCGTATCTCGGCCTCCTGATTAGGAATGCGGCCCTACGTTTGCCTTGGTTCGGGGTAGGCTGAACTTTTGGTGGTGTTGTGATAGTGCTGTTCCGGGTGTACCTCGGTTTCCTGCGCTGGAACTGGACGCCCCACGAGTGCCCAAGGCAGCGTCGATCGCTGCCACCCTCTGGTCGAGTGCGCGTGTGGTGCGAATCAAGGATGAGAACCCTTCTTCCATGAGTTGGTTCTGTCGGTGGAGTTGTGCGAGAATGCGCTCATTGACCGAACCCTCGTCTAGTCCCTTCGGGTCCCCTCCTGACCGTGGGTGCACTGACAGGTTAGGCCCGTCATCCTCCTCCTGTTCCTCATTTCCCTCCGAGCCCCCACAATCTTGCATGGCTCGTTTGAGCTTCTTGTTGGAGATGTCCAACCGGTCAACCAATTCTCTCCGCTCTTCCTCGGGTTTTTGGCAAATTTCTTCGAGGGTGAGGTAATGTCCCCCTTCGGTGTAGTAGATGTCGTTGCGGCGAAGGTTTTGGGCATTGAAAACCATACCATTGGCGGTTTTGACCTCGGTGTGGCTTAGGTCCACCCCTTTCTTTTCAAGAGATAAGCAAAGGTGCACTCTAGGCTCCCTACGTCCTTGCTTTTATTATTGGTGGGCAAGAGGCTATCGGTGACAATCATAACCAATATCTTTTGCTCCGCCGATAACCACTTCCGGTTTGGCCGTGTGGCCGAGGTGAACCCGTCCTCCTTCCCGAGTAGGTACCCGAGGTAGTCCTTGTATCCCGTAGTTTGGGTATCAATCCATCCCTTTCGGTCATAGTTAGACACACCCGTGGTGGTCAATTTCAAGAGCTTGGCCAAACGGCCTTCGGAAAGCACAATTTCCTTGCCACGGACCTTGGTGGTGATTTCTACCTTGTCACCCCGTTTGGTGGCTACATGGTGTTGATAGAACTCCTTCACCAATTCGGGGTACGTATCCCCTTTGATGGTGAGATATGTATCTAAAAACCCTTGATGTTTGAGCATATCAACCAATTCCGGAGAGAATTGGTCGGGTTCAAGTGCTTTACCTCCGATCACGGTGTAATCGGCGTTGCTCCACTCCGGGGTGCGGGTTCCGAGGGGTTTCTTTGGCATCATGGTGCTTCGGTTGATGGCGATGTTTTCCGGCGATCTTCCGTCGATTTTCCGGCGAGGTGGCGGCGGGGCTCCGGCGTGTTTTTCCCGGCGAGGTGAACGACACTACGGCACGTTTTTCCGGCGAGCTTCTAGGCAGCGTGGTTTCTCATTTTCGAGGGGGACGGCGGCGAGGTGGAGGTTCAGCGTTGGTGCGGTGGGAGTGAGATGGCGGGGTGGCGTCGTTCGGGTGGAGGAGCAGCGGGTCGCCGCTGGGGAGCTTCTGGGTGGCGGGTTGTGGTCGGCTTGGACGGCGGTGTGACGTTGGCGGGTGGTGTTCGGCCGGCGGCGGCGGTCGATCGGCGGTCGATCGGCGGTGACGATGGGTGGTTGTTGGTTCCTTTGGGGTGGAGCGGTGAGGTGTGTGAGAAGGAGAAGTGGAAGAGTGGGGAAGAAGAAGGGGAGGAAGAAGAAGAAGGGTTTTTGATTTGGGGGTTTTGTGGGTTTTAGGGATTTGGAGGGGTTTAACAAGGGAGTATTCCCTTGAGGTTTCAAGAAACACTCATGGGCTAGTGGTTGAGGCCTTGACTTGTATGTGGGAGGTCCAAAGTTCCATTCTTAATGGTGACATTAGGCATTTTTATTGATGGTATGGTTTTTGTCCTTTTCCCTGTTTCGTCCTTTAGTGGGGAAGGGTTGGGTTGATGGTATAACTTGTGTTTTACCTCCGTAGTGGAATTGAAATTCGATCAAAAAAACCTTTATTCATAATACTTTCGAAATAGCTAAGCTAAATAAGTGGTCCTTATGACACGGGGGGTGGTTACAAGGGGTGTGACGGTTTATCCTAGACAGAATTCATTTTCTGGATCTTCTTCTGTGGGATCCGTATTGTCCTCGTCTTCCGGGATTGGGTTTCCCCCTTCTAGGTCCTCTTCGTTTCTGAGGTTGGCTTGAGTGTGGCTCATAACCAATACTTTCCCGGGAGCGCCGTAACTCCCTTGATGACCGGTGCCCCCGTGTTGGCCCCCGGTGGCGGGGCGTGGTCCTAGGGGAATTCTTGGAGCTCTTTGGGTGGTGAGAGATTATTGTGGTGGGGATTCTAGGTGCCCCCTAAGTTCTCTATTTATAGATCTAGGGATCTTATTTGGGGTCTAGTCCTATTGGGATTGGGGGTTGGGTTTAGAGATGAGGGCCCACGGACTATGGTGGGCCTTTTTCCCTAATTAATCATTATAATTTATTGTTTCTCTTGGGCTATTGATTAATTAACTAATTGGTTTTAAGGGCCGTAACACGGGGTGTTACAATTGTCCCTAGACGGGCACACGACAGCAGTAACTACCCCACAGGAACATAGAAATCGGAGCCTGGAAACCACATTATCTAGAATCCACGGCGGGCGAACAGATACATCAACATAACTCGCCAGCTCCGCCCATGTGGACTCTATAGAAATCACTGTATTTCCCCCGGCCAGGCACCATTCCAGGCAGGAGAACAAGACTCGGAACATACCCCGAGCGTGCTCCCCCTGCCCAGACCACGCAACCCCATAACAAAAGCCACCGTCCTGGTTGCGCACCACGGCTGCAGCCCCCCTACTGCAAAGACAAAGATAGATTAATCTTTAATGCACCGGCAGCAGGAGGAGACCACCTGACCGTACTAACAACACGCCTTGGCACATGTGCCTCCAAGTATGCCACAATAGTCCTCCAATTAGAGGGCAGGATATGCTGCGTGGGCCATCCCCTAAACAGACATTCCGCCACCCCCTTTGCCACCCCATGCATCACCCGCGCAACGCTGGGAGTATCTCGGCCATACATGCACCCATTACGGTGCTTCCACAGCTCCCACAATACCAGATACGGCAACTTGCTAACAACAAAAGACAAAAGAGGGTTACGCGCCCCCCTCCGAACCCATCCCACAATCAAAGTCCTAAGACTCCGGTGTCGCAAATGGAGGCCGAGGGACGCCAAAACATATCGCCAGACAGCTTCTGCTATTTCCCCAGAATAAAAAAATATGATCAATAGACTCAGGAACCGGGGCCGGACATCACCAGCATCTCGAAACAATCACATGACCGAAACGAGCCAAAATGTCGTCTGTGGGAAGCCGCTGTCGGAACACTCTCCAAGCCAGGAAGGACACCTTAAAAGGGAGGTGCTTGTGCCAACACTTAGCTAAGATAGGGTCTGGTACAGTGGGCAGAGCAGGCCTGAGAAAGGCCTTAGCAGAGGAATAAGAAAACATACCATCGGACGCCACGGTCCAGAGCGGGATATCACGCGGACCCCGTCCCATTCGGGACAAGTCCGCATTAATCCCTGCATAAGCCAAGTCATCATGGCCAGCCAGATCGAGCCCACCATCCCGCACATAGTCCAGGAGTAACTCCCGGGAGTAGGAAACCCCCTGGTGCGGGTAAAGTCCGCCGAGCGGGCCCAGACCTGACCAATTATCCCACCAGAAATTAACCCGGCCTTGGAACAACCGCCAAGTCAGAACCCTCTCAACGTCATCACGTACTGTCAACATCCGCTTCCAGGTGTGCAAATCAGTAGTCCGGACTAACTTAGCAACCAGGTGAACCCGGCTGCAGTATTTAGCCCTCATAAAATCTGACCAAAGCGTGTGTTCTGTCCGGAAATTCCACCACAATTTGGCATTGGCCGCCCTTACCATCAAATCCATGTCTAAGAACTCCACTCCCCCCTCCTTTTTAGGACGAGACAGATTTTTCCATGAACTCCAATGATACTGGGCGCCGCCTGACTGTTTCCAGAAGAAGCTAGCATAGCATCTTTCCAAGTCCCGTATGACCTGCTTAGGCGGTGCGCAGGCTGAGAATAAGTGCAATGGTAAGGCCTGCAAGACTGAGTATATCAAGATTGCCTTCCCGCCCTTTGAAAGCACTCGGCGTTGCCAACTCAAACATCTAGCCTTCACTTTATCAACCACCGAGGCAAAATATATACATTTTTTTGCGGCCAATATACACAGGGCAACCCAAGTAAGTAAATGGAAACTATTTATGTACACAACCTGTTACCCTGCGAATCTCATCAATCTCACGAGCTGGAGTACGAGGGTGCATGTAAAAAACACTCTTCTGAAAGCTCACAAACTGTCCCGATATCTCCTCGTACTCATTCAAAGCATTAATTACCTCTTGAATTGCTCCCAACCTGGCCGTGCTAAAAATAATTACATAATCTGCATAGGCCAGGTGATGTATATGTGGTGTCCCTGGCGGCTGTGTAAACCGGGGCACCGTAGTGCCATCATACACCCAAGCAAGGTAAACGGACAGGACTTCAGCTGTAATCACAAACAAAGTCGGGGACAGTGGTTCCCCGTGCCTGAGTCCCCGCGTAGATGTAAAGAAGCCTTCAGTGACTCCATTTACTATCACTGAATACCAAACATTAGACACAGCCCGGAACACCATATCAATCTAGACCTCACTGAAACCCAGACGGCGCATCACCGAAGTCAGAAAAAACCACGATACCCGGTCATATGCCTTAACCATGTCGAGCTTAAGCACTATGTCCCGGTTATGCAAACTGAATCCATGGCACATCTCGGACGCCAAAAGCATGTTATCTATAATAAACCGACCAGTTACAAATCCGCTCTGCTGCGGTGACAAAACCCGAGGCAGAACTGTAGCCATCCAAACTACCATGAGCTTCGTGATGAGCTTACTACTGAAGTTACACAAACTGATAGGGAATTGTGATATTATTATTGATAATTGGTGTGATGATTCCATGGGTGATATTGATGATCTTGATGATGAGAGGTTCTTGATAATTATGGTGTTCTTGATAGTTATGATGTTCTTGATAATTATGGTGTTCTTGATAGTTATGATGTTCTTGATGATTATGGTGATCTTGATAATTATGGTGTTCTTGATGATTGTGTGGCGTTCTTGATGATTATATGATGTTCTTGTTGATTATGTGATGTTCTTGATAATTGTATGATGTTCTTGATGTTTATGTGATATTCTTACCGAATCTTGATACTAGAAGATGAATTGTGATCTTGTTGATTTAAAAGTGATTAGAACCCTAGGTTGTATCGTATGATATTATTCTTGGTGTATTGGGTGGGAATTCGCATGTTTGGGTGTTAATTATGTTTAGAAAAGCATGTTAGGATATGTGCCGTATGTTTCTTGATTTCGATCCGTTAATTGTCTACGTGATGTGGTCAATTGCGTTTGAAAGCGTTCAAGCATGGTTTCGGGTTCCACAAAGGTTCCCGGGGCGTTTTTGGTGAAAAAGAGTCAGTGGGGGGTAGGCGGGGGTAGGGGACCCGCCACCTACCCGCGGCCAAGAAGGGCAGCTCCGGCAGCGGGCAGGCAGCGGAACAGCACACGCCGGCGGGCAGCCGACGGGTGAACCCTCACCCACCAGCTACCCGCTGGAAAATACCCCAACCCGGGATTTCAGCTTCCCCATTTGATGTTCCCCCGACCCCCGTGGTGTCCTAACGGACCCCTCCTATCATGCCTATGTCTAGTTTGATGTCCGGGTACCGTTCGTAGGTCGTATGAGTCTTATATATTGCATGTTAGCTGAATTGGTATCCCTTTAACCTAGGTGGAAGAAGCATGAACCCCTTAGGATTATTCTTAGTATGTGAAGGTTCACGCATAGGTTTTGTTATATGTTTCTCCCCCTTCCCAATTTGCTAATGTGGGTTGCATGTGCTTGCTACGTGTTATGTGTGCATGTTACCCCGATTTGGTTGCGATCAATTGGGCTATACGGGCAGTCGGATGGGTTGAGAACCATACTGACTGTTAACCAGGCTGGTAGAGACTGGTCAGGTATATTAATATTATATAGGACTGAGGTCCACTATACGGGCAGTTGAATGGGTTGAGAACCATCCCAACTGTTAACAAGGCTGGTAGAGACCAATCAGGTATATAAATATTATATAGGACTGTGGTCCACTATACGGGCAGTTGAATGGGTTGAGAACCATCCCAACTGTTAACCAGGCTAGTAAAGACCAGTCAGGTATATAAATATTATATAGAGCTGCGGATCATCGGTTGCGATCGAACCCTCCGTGTTGTGAGACGGGGCAGGGTGCTGCGGGGCCGTGTCAGAGCTATATACGCTGACCCTCATGTATGGGCATGCGATTGGTCTTGTGGCGCCAACAAAGTGTGCTATGTGATGAGATGAAAAGAATTGATGATATGACTGTTATGGAAACGTGACCATAGGGTTCTTGCTAGTAATACTTAATTGTGATTATTGGTTGTGCTTATCTATAACTGTGTCCTATGTGAGAATTGTATATGCTTGATTATGACTGTTGATTATGTGTACCCCTATTCGTCGAGTCGGTTCCCTGATTTAAAAATTAGAGTCTCTTAGGATATACCTTCATGCTTCGAAGTGACTTTTCGTATATCTATATATATATATATATATATATATCTATATGTATTGTATTTCAACGCGTTGGAGTGGGTTACCAGCATCTCTCGCTGAACAGATATATTGGGCTTTCAGGCACAGAAGAATAAGTCACTGGAGCGCGCTAGAACTTGGAGCGTAGAAGTAGATAGTTTCCCTTTTCGGCCTGCGTGCCATGTTATGCATTTGCTTTATTAAGGATATTAGTTAGTTTGCCTGTGCACCTGAGTTCTCTAGCTCAGGTGTGGCATAGCACCCCGTACTCTTTATGTTACGTTTTGGGAATTAATGAGATTTTACCTTTATTTTATAAAGTTTTAAATGTCTTGAAAATCTGGGGTGTTACAACTTCCTTCGTAGATTCGTCTTTGACTTGACATTTATTCTTGAAAAATTCTACGAGGTAGCCTTTGTCGCAGAATTGACTAGTTCTAAACAAATTGAATTTTAGTCCTTCGACAAATGAAACATCATCAATTCGTATTCCATTCTTTTCAATTGTTCTGGTGCCTTTTGTTGTTCCATATTGATCATTTCCACCGAAAACTACTTTTGGTCCTTCGATACTTTTGAACTCAACTAAACTAGCTTTATTGCCGGTCATGTGTCGAGAGCATCCGCTATCGAAATACCAAATTTCCTGCAGAACAGATTAATTATTTTTAGGTACCCACACTTGTTTGGGTCCTTTTGCGTTAGTGATTTTTGGCATCCAAATCCACCTAGATCCCATTGATCCAAGAATAGGTGATCTATAACCATTGAAAACATTATAATCATAGCGCACTTTCGAATAATGATTCGGTACGGGTTGGGATGCTGATAGTTGCTTGACTCTATGAAACAGAGTAAATCTGGACTTGGTCCATGGTTTGTGTTCAAGCGACCAATCTTCTTCTGAGGGATATAATCTCCCATCCCCAATTCTCGGAATTCTTCCCATATTCCTATGAGGTTTTATTGCACTAGACTCGTTGGTTCTCCTTTGAGATACAAATTTTTGCCTTTTAAAATTTTGTTGTCTTGCCAAAATGTCATTGTGTTGTTTCGGCCTAGCAACAATTTTCTGGGCATTAATTTTGTTTCCAACTCCTTGTCTCATTGTGCTATGTTGACTTTTCACAAATTTTACCACTGGAACTTTAGAACATGATGGATCGTAGCCAAGTCCGGCTTTATCTCCAGCGGGTTTTTGCATGTTTACCATTTTATCCATTATTTTGGATGAATGCGTAAATTATGCGATAACTTCCCGAAGGTTATGTTCTCTAACCTCTCTAGCTTTGCACTCTTCTTAAAGTCGAATATTTTCGGTTTTCAAATTACTCATTTCGTTTAGAGCATTTTGCAATTTTTGCGCCATTTCTTCCTTTTCAAGAATTAATGTATTATTCCGCTCTTTGATTTGAGTATGAATGTCCATGACTTTTTGACAATCTTCCAAGAGACTTTGAATTGATTCTTGAGTCTCAAAAGAAGTGTCAACGGAACTAAAGGAACTAGAAGATACCTCTTCGTCGATTTCGCGCGCCATTAAACATTCTTCATGTTCGGATGTTTTGCCAACTAAGCACAGTAGCGCCGTATCTTCTTGTGATGAATCACTTTCATCACTAGATGAATCTCCAGATTCACTTGCTTCTAGCGGATCACTTATCAAAGCCTTTCGTTTGTCCTTCTTTAATCTCTTTTCCTTCGACTTGTATTCTTCCTGCGAAGGATTAGTAGCATTCGAATTTTTGCTTACCTTGGGGTGTGGACATTCTGCCATAAAGTGTCCAGGCTTTCTACAATTGTAACTCACATTTGTGTTATCTTCGACCGGTTCTTTCCTTGGTCTTCTAAATGAGCTTCCTTGTGGTGAATTCTTGAACTTGTTCGTTCGCATGAATTTTTTGAATTTCCTAACAAATAAGGAAAATTGTTCGTCAGTTAAAAAATCATTATTTCCTACTGACCTTGATGTAGAGCCTTAAGATCGCTAAAGAGTTTATCCGTAGATACCGTCCTTAGATTTCTATGATCTCGCATCGCTGTTACTTTCATATCCTAGTTAGAAGGTAGTCCACGCAAGACTTTGAGTGATATTTCATTCTGTGAGATGGTTTTGCCAAGATCACTTATTTCACCAAGAATCTTGACTAAGCGTGCTTCCATATCGGTAATACTTTCGTTAGAAAGCATTTTGAAATCTTCGAATCTTTTCATGGCGATGGTTAGCTTGTTATCTTTTTCTTGTTCGTCGCCTTCACCGATGCTTATGAGCGTATCCCATATTTCTTTTGCTGTAGTGCACTTTTGAATCTTTGGGAATATGGTGTCATCGACCGCTTTGAACAAAATATCCTTGGCAATGTTGTCCAAGTTATTTCGCCTTCTATCATCCCTTGTCCATTCCATTTTTGGTTTTGGAATATATCTTGGAGCTTCTGGATTTAGTGCGATGGCGGTGTTAACTTCCATAATCTCAATAGGACCATTTGTGATCACTTCCCACATTTCATCATTTAAAGCAGATAAGTGCACCTGCATACGTATTTTCCAATCATCAAATTTCTCAAGTGAGAAAAGCAAATTTTGAGCAAGAACCATATCTCTCTTCATCTTGAAGTTTTGAGATCTGCCTAGAAGTCAAGAATTGACTCAAATAGACAACCGCTCTGATACCACTTGTTGGTCCCGAAAGGGTGGCGAGAAATCTAGAGGGGGGGGGGGGGTGAATAGACTTCTCTAACTTTTTAAATTCTTTCGCAAAACACACAAGACAAATAACACTTTGATTATTTCAACTCTAAGTAACAAGCATCAACAAGATAAACAACTTAGAGTGTGCAGCGGAATAGGTAGCGGTAAAGTGTTATGCTTAAAAGTGTTGTGCTCAAAGAGAGATTCTAAACATGCAATACGTTAGAAACACTTAATATGGTTCAAAGATAATGTACGCAAAGTTTGGCTCGCATGCAAACGTGGGAACTATCAAACCCAGACAGATAAAGATATG